CTCAGCTGGAGCTTGTAGGCATTACTAAAATAGTAATACTTCTAAAAATATTTATCAGTTGTTCATAACCTTGGTTTGGCACAGGGAGATAAACACTTACTTATTTCTTAGAGCATGCTTATTACTAACTTGTTGATTTGGGGCAAAACTACATTGTATTTTTTCTAGATCAGTACATCAGTACATTTTCTAGATCAGATTTTTTTCTAGATCTAGGATTGCTGACTATACACACATCAGATACACAAAATAAACACACAAAACCCACAAATTTGTATTAACCTTCAAGTTATAATACTCAATATTAGTATAACAAAGTACAGAATTTTCAAAAATAGGATTTGACTGTCCCTTTAATACCTAATGTAGTTAGGTAAGGAGACTGTCCCTACTATTTTGAAATTACTGTTAAATGTGAGAGCCACACTTTATTTCTAGTCTCCAACTTAATAATGTTGAAGTAAAGCTGATCTACATAAGGGATGCCAATTTGAAATCTAAACAGTTTCAAATAATGATTAAAAGTCAGGTACTACAGTGGGTTTCTGCTAATTTTTGTGACTTTTGCAATAACATTTTCCTGTTTTAAAAAACGCATTTTCTCTGTTGCTGTGACAGACATGGACAAACAGGAAACTGAGTATATATGGCAAATACTATCAAATGTGCGAGGTACATAAACTGAAGAAAGAGGAGTATTTTTCTTAAATCTTTTTGCTGAATAACCCGATGTGATACTTCCAACAATAGTACATAAAATTCGTTCAGCCAGAAGAGAATTTTTTCTCCTCACCATAAGTGATGCTGTTCTAAAGATTTGATCTCTGCAGATGGATGTGTAACGGGTGGGTTTCCAACTCTTCCTACTTCTAGAGTCCTGAGGCCCTCCCAGTTGTCCTTATTTGATTTCTCCATTAGTTTATGATCACCATTCCCCTGAAGGCACTATATACTAGTAGTCTACTTTCCTAGGAGGGCTTGATGAGCCTTGCTTCATTGAAGCTAAACTGATGGGTTAAAGCCTTGTCCATGCTTTTCCTGTTGGCTGTGAGGTTGCTGCAATGGTGCAAACTCCTAATGTAGATGCAGCACACCAATGTGTAAAGTGACGTGCTTGCAGTGGTACAAAAATGCCATTGTAGGTAAGGCCTAAGTCAGTTTAAAGGGGGAGAGAAATCAGACTTAGAAATCCAACTCTGGTCTCATGTGAATGGGAAAACACTGGTTCATATTGTTTTATTGATTAAATCAGTGGTCCCCAAACTTTTCCTCTTGTGCACCCTCCTCCCCTCCCCCGACTAGCCAGTAATGGAATCCATCCACAATGGCATCCCCCCTCTGTTACAACACAGTTGGTTCAGCAGAGGTGATTGGGCTGAAGGTGGAGCTGGGGGAGGATAAGGAATGAGGGCAGAACTGGCTTGAGGGTGGAACTGCGGCTGGGGCCAGAGCAGGGTGGCACTCCCTCCCCACTCCCTGTGGGGGCTGTCCAGGCCCTGCTGCCTGTGTCGTCCCCCGCCCCCCACCCCAAATTTTCCTCTGCATGCCCCCTAGGGAGGTGCGCCTCACAGTTTGGAGATCACTGGATTAAATGGATTGATTGTGCTATGAACAACTAGCAAGAGCAGCATGCCAAAAGGCCACTGCACTTAACATGATGACAATGGCCAACATACCTAAACAGTCTAAACGGCTTTTCTTACACACCAGCAAACAGTGTTTCTATTCCTTTTGGGCTTTCATCTTAATAGAACAGGATTTTCTTGCTTCAAGATCTTTGATTGGGCTGCTGATTGTTCATGGAGTTTGTTGACTGACTCATAACTCTCAGCTGCCAGGATTTTGTGAACTGGCTGTACTTGGAACTGCACCCAAGTAGCATAGGTCTTGTCACTGTACTTTGATTTGGCAAACATGTCATTTTCTACTCGGCAGAATGCAAGACCTGATATGTGGAAAATTTTGTTTAGTCTTCCCTTTAGAAAGGAGATTACTCACCTTTGTCTTGTGGGGTATCTATCAGGCGACTATCCAACTTTATGAATTGGGAGGACTTTGGTTTTCATTACTACTTTTAACCTTCAAAGGCACAAATATTGACATACAGAAAAAAAGGCTTTTGGCTGTTGGAAACTTTTGTAGCTATGTCTTGTCATTGGGGAAATCCATATATCCAAATGCACTCTTGGTTTCTTTAGAAGTAAAAAATAAACCAGCAAGAAGATGAAGTCAGTTAATAGCTTGTTATAAGCCCAAACCCAGTGTCTTGCTAACAGATCTCTCTCGGGCTTAAACTTTGTGCATTGATGCCAACAATAACAAATATGTAGGCAATTTTTTCTGCAGCATCTGTACAGGATGCTGTATACAGGCCCAGATGTCTTTAGAATGTCCTCTGACTTTGATAAGGGTAAGCAAGATGTTAAGTATCTTGATGAATTCTTAAGAATCAACTTACTGCACATACACACTCTTAGTAATATTATGAAAGGTAAGTTTTTGTTTTTAAACTTACTCCACTTTGGAGCAAAGATGCAAGTACACCTTGAGGTGAAAAAGTGTTTTTTCTTGGACTGCCTCCATGATTGTTCCTTTTTGTGGTCAGATATCTGAGCACTAACAAAATCATTTTAACACTAGTATGCTTTCAAATGAATTGGAAGTTTCTAAAGTTTGAGGAGATACTATGAAAGATGTAAGGTATATGTTCTTAACATAAAAATTTGCTCCAACTATCGGAAGAATATGTTCAGTATTAAAAGTTCAATTACCGCTTTTGGGTTTCAGCTCTTTCTGGAGATACATACATGTGAGTATTGAGGGAGTGGTGTCTAATGGTTTAAAGCAAAGGAGGATCCTATTTCGGATCTGAGCCACTGACTCACTATGTGACCATGGGCAAGTTACTCAACCACCGTGTGCTTCAATTATCCCAGTTGGGAAACTGACTAAACAACAGGAAACATGCTGAAAGGCAAATATTGCATCTGTACTGTGCTTCTTGGTCAATTAAGTACGAAAAACAAAATGAAAGCAGAGCCAGCAGCATTTTCTAAAAAACCCAGATTTTTATCAAATGTATGTTTTTGTTTTCTTTATAGCAAGGCTTGAAAAATTTACCCAACACTTCCTAGCCTAAGCTGTAAGCCTGCTCTTCAAGCCAAAATACACCAGTATCTCATGCTCATCCTCCAGCCTTACCCATTTGTGCCTAGTCTCCCAGTGGTCAGATACCTCTCCCAGCCATTCTTAGGCTAGGGCTGGAAGATCCTGGTCTCCTGCTAGTTGAATTCTGTTCTTCATATTAGAACATAGATCACCTCATCCATGCAGACATTAAAATAATCAGTGTTGCCTCCTAAAATCAATTGATACTTGGCTACCATTTTGATCTATTAACTAATGCTGCTATCCCTAAATCAGCATATGTTTCCTCCCAGATATGTTATGTAACTCCTTTCCTCACACCTCCCCCCAACCCCCAAAACAATTTTTATTGACTCTGCTTGAGTGGTGGGAGACTGAGATTTCCCTCCTCATTATCTGGGCTCATCCTACTCAAGAACAGGGAGGAGAAGACTGAGTAGGGAGGCTCCATTTAGTGTATTTAAAAAAAACCAGACTTTTTTCTACCATATCAGAGAGCTCTTGTTTGGCTGACACCAGATAGATGTCTCTTGTGGGGATTCCGCAGCCATCCTTACTTAAGGCGGTGTGTAGGGGTCGTCGTCATCCCGGATGACGGGGTGATAGCAGAAGCCTCCCAGCTCCAAACAGACAGCGCTCTGCTGTTGCAGTGTGTTTACACTAGGAGTTTGCATATAATATCCCAGTGTAGATGGCATTTATATTTTTAAATGAAGCTTTGTTTCTGAACAAGGTGATGCTTCTGCTGGGAAGGATTCCTGTTCACCCTTGGTGTGCGCAGGAGACTTTTCAAGCCTTGTTTAGCGTCATTGCTCGCAAGCTTAGAGATCAAGTGCTGCCATAGGAGATAAGATGAACGGAGGGTCCCAAGCTTTTGTAATGACAAGGCTGACTAGATCTGATGCTGTTCCCTCTACTTGCTTCTAGATGGCACTATGAAATAAGAGAACTTGCATGTACAGTCCGATGAGACAAGCTAGCTATATAGGGTTAGTAATAAGGTGTTGGGTTTATCCATGGTGGTAGTATGTATGCTAGGGAATTAAATCCTCTGGGAAGAAAATGTCACTCAAATTCATCCCAGTGTGATATAGGAACACTGATCAGTGTGCTTTGAATCGTTTTTAGATAAGCATGAGTCATGAAGGTATTAATAGAGGGGTCAGTGTTCACACTAAACAAAACAATATGATTTGTGTACAAAGAATTTACAATGATGAGCTATTTACCTTAGCATATAAATGAGGCCACTATATAAATGGCTGCCTAAGAGCATAGCCAGACCTTCTCTCACCCCAAATACTTCTCTTACAGTTATCTATACAACACATCTCATCCAAAAAAATAAAAATAAAACTTTAACATGTATCAGTATGTTGGATTTCTGAAGAGGGAAAGGTTTAATAATTTCTATACACAATTTTTTCTCCATTGTCTCTTAGGTTTTAAATTCTTTAGCTTTTTTGCTTCCGTTGTTCAAAGCAGGAAGTTATGATTTAAGACAATTTTAAAGGTCTAATCTAACAGTCTTTCTTGAGCAGAAGATTTCCTTAGGAAGATGGCTTGCAAAAGAGGTTGTTCGTGGCAGAGGAAAGACCTCTCTTCCATTTTTGTAAGCTGCTCTTGTGTTCAAGAGTTGTTGTGTTCAGCATATCTTGAAGTACTGAGTAAAATTGGTTGGTTCAGAAACATTCATTCATTATGAAGTGTGCCATTATAGCAGAAACTTTAGCTTTTGGATGTTTGAGGGTGGAAAGAGCTGGACTAGCTATTGATATGGTAGGAGATAATGGTCATGTTGTAGTAAAACATATAAAACTAAAACACTTAAAATTGGCTTCTTTTTTTTTCAGCAGCTCCATGAGACGGTGAAAAGAAAACTTGATAGTGCTGCTTCCCCTCAGAATGGAGATCAACAGAATGGGTATGGGGATATGTTTTCTGTGTCCAAGAAATTACGTCGTGAAGATGGTCTTGGTGGGGTAAGTGGCTCCTCCAACGGCGTACCTCCTTTATCCCCACTACACCAACTTGACAAGAAATCTTCCAGTGGCGATACCTTACAGCTCAATGGAAAGCATTCAATGGGACTGGATAGCATCAATAAAAAGTGTCTTCCAGATGCTAACCTTCAGCTGAATGGACGTAGTGATGCTGATGACTCATTTCCTTTGGGTTTGAACAAAGAGCTCAAGCAAGAGCCAGTGGATGACCTTCCTTGTATGATTGCTGGAGCAGGCGGTTCTATATCTCAGAACAACTTGATGCCCGATCTTAATCTTAATGAGCAGGAATGGAAGGAGCTCATTGATGAACTTAATAGATCAGTGCCTGATGAAGACATGAAGGATCTATTTAATGAAGACTTTGAGGAGAAGAAGGATGCAGATTCTTCAAATTCAACTGCACAAACTCCATTGCCACAAGACATTAACATAAAGACTGAATTTTCCCCAGCAGCGTTTGAGCAGGAACAGCAGATGGGGTCTCCACAAGTCAGATCCACTTCTTCAGGTCCAACATTCATTGGAGCCTCCTCTGTACCTGTTAGTGCTGCTTCTCCAGCAGTTGGGGGCTCTCAGACTATGTTCCAGTCTTCCAGTCAGCCAGTGACTGAAAATCCTAACCAGTCCATGATGCAGGCATCAAACCAGTCTCAAAATGTTCAAAGGCCTCTACCAAATGTATTATTATCTGGACAGGGCACAGGAAATGCCAAAGAAATGTCCTCTGCTCACCAACTTCAACAGATAGCTGCTAAGCAAAAAAGAGACCAGATGTTGCAGAACCAGCAGCAGGCTTCACAAGTCCACCAAACCAGTCAGATGTCCAGCTGGCAGCAGTCTGGACCTTCTCATAGTCCACTGGGTGTCCCCTACACAATGGACAATCCCACCAGCCCTTCAGTTTACCAACAGGACTTCAATAACCAGAAACTCATAATTCCTAGTATGGCAAACAAGAGTTCTCCCAGGAGTGGAGGCAATTACCATGTGAATATGTTGAGTCATCAGCCAAACAGCCTGAACCAGAACTCTGTAAATAGCCAAGGCTCCATGCTAGATTATGGCAACACAAAACCTCTTTCACATTACAAAGCAGAGTGTGAGCAAGGAGTTACAGTACCTGGCCAGAACAAGACACCTATGTTGGCATATCTGCAGCAACGCCAGCAACCGCCACTGCCTCATATGAGTGAAGAACAAAATGGGATGTTCCTGATGAAGCAGAAATCTGGAAATATTGCCTATAGACCTCTAGTACCACACAGCCAGGTAAATGTTATGGGCTGTTATCATTGTGAAGTAATAGATCTTGGAGTGCTGAGTGGGTAGGACTAGATCCAATTATTAGTTGCAATTATTTGGAAATACAGTTTACTGAATATCCTAATTTTCCATTCTAAAACAAGCAAAACCAAGACACGACCAAGGAAAAAGCATCTAGAAATAACCAAATTTTTCCTTGAGTATATTGTCTAATAGCTAGGCTGGTAAGATATATTTCCAACTTAATACACCATGTGGAAACCAAATTCCTTAATATAAAAATCACTACAAAGTATTCAAGTATCTTTATGAATAAACATTTATCTAAAATACTTTCTTGTGTAAAACTTAAAAATAATTCTCAAAGAAACCTTACTTTTCCTTTCAATCAATGTCTCCTCTTCTCGGGTGACTTGTTTGAAGACCTCCTTCCTTCTTGACTCCTGAGGGTGTTGCGGCTCATATGAATAGTTGGGGCCATTGGGAGAACAAATGGACTGTGTTTTAAGTGAAATCCCAAGGCTGATTATCTTAAATCTTAGATGTTGGAGAGGTTCGTATCCTCTCCCTTCCTCCATGCCCCCTCTGGTGGAAATTAACAGTGGTAACATTTGTCTACCTGAGGCAGTATTATTCCTGGGAGAATTCTGTGCCGATGTGCAATGCAGAATTTGCACAGAATTAATGTTGTGCTCAAATTTCCTTTTTCCCTCGCAAATATGGACTGCAGAGCTGCTGGCTGCCACTAGGGGTTGTTGGACCCAGCAGAGCACCCAGCTCTCAAATAGAAGATGTTGCTATGGGGGAGGAGGAGCTGGAGGATTCCCAGCAGCTGCAGGAACGAGGCACCATGCAGGAAACTGGGACCCAGCATCAGGCTATTTCTCCCTCACACTCTCTCTAACCCCAGAGCCCAGGGATTTGGAATGTGTCAGCTGGGGGGTGCCACGTGGCTGGGCTCTGGGGAAGAGAGGGGGGTGTGGGTGTCTGGACTGGGGGAGTGGGGAGAAATAAGAACTGGGTTGTTGTAGAGGGTTTCTTTAACTCTCTAACCCTGGGGGGAATTTTGTGTGTCTGTGTTGTTACAGACCTAGTTGCTGACAGATATTTTGAAATAAGTTACCAAAATAATTGAAACTGCCATGATTATATAGTGTTTTGACAAATAAAATATGCAGAATTTTAAAATACTGTGCACAGAATTCTTAATTTTTTGGTGCAGAATTACCCCAGGACTACAAAATGCAGAATAAAAGGTGACCTGCAAAGGAAAAAAAGGCGTTATTGTCCTCTTGCTTTATGGTGTACTAATGCTTTTTCCGAAAAGGCTTGTTGTGCTTGTTTTACGTTAAAAATTCCTGACTTGTCTACCCTGTTATTCCTGGAAGACTGCAGAACTAATAGGATACAAATACACAAATGGTATCATAAGTACAAATCTGTGCAATTGAGGGTGACTTGTCAGAATATTTAAAACTGTGGTGTTTAACACCTAGAACACAAATGCTTGTTGAACAGTTGAGAGAAAAGATCTTTTTTAAAGATGTAAAAGCCTGTCCCTCCAGCTAAAGGCTGTTAGAACTCTTAGTCCAGGAGTATGGTCCTTCAAATCATGTCTTTCCTGTTTTTTGATTGAGGTAATCTTGATGCTTCTAAGGCAGGGGTAGGCAAACTACAGCTTGCGGGCCACATCCGGCCAGCTGGCTGTTTGAATTCGGCCCTTCAGCTCCTGCTGGGGAGCGGGGTCTGGGGATCTGTGCGGCTCCCGGAAGCAGCGGCATGTCTCCCCTCCAGCTCCTATGCTGAGAGCTGCAGGGTCAGTGCCTGCAGACAGGGCAGCGCGCAGCAGAGCGGCCTGGCCATGTCTCCGTGTAGGAGCTGGAGGGGAGACATGCTGCTGCTTCCAGGAGCTGCTTGAGGTAATTGGTGCCCAGAGTCTGCACCCCGAGCCACCCGCCCCTGCCCTCTGGAACCCTCGGTCCCAGCCCGCACCCTCCTGCACTCCAAACCCCTCATTCCCAGCCCCACCCAGAGCCTGGAGCCCAGCCCGGAGCCCCCTCCCACACTCTGAACTCCTCATTTCTGGCCCCACCCCGAAGCCTGCACCCCCAGCCAGAGCCCTCACTCCCTCCCACACCCCAACCCCAATTTCGTGACCATTCATGGCCCGCCATACAATTTCTATACGCAGATGTAGCCCTCGGGCCAAAATGTTTGCCCACCCCTGTTCTAAGGTAAAGACCAAGCAGAACGTTTTTTGTAAATCAGAGCTACTTTATGCTTCATAAAAAGCAAAGAAGGCATCATTCCAATTTTTTTCCTTTGCAAGTCACCTTCAACATAGCACTGATAAAATGGGAGGAAGTAACACCTCAACAGCTGTTTTTTCATGTTTGCTGACTTGGGGCGAATCCACATCCTAATGTGCGTTGAAATAACAAAAGAAGTTAATTAAAACAGACCTAGTTAATTTGCTGGCAGTTTGTGTAGACCAGCCCTTATACGCCGCAATACCAATTACTTTTGATTCACAGAATCTGATCAAACTGGGGAGTAGAGGAGCTGGCACCACACGTCAGTATCTGACATTTTAATTAAAAAAAAAAAAAATGGTGTGAAAAATACTATGATCAAGATTAAAGCTGGGGTTGGAAGATGTCCGCAGGTAACCATAGGAACTGCCAATACGATTTTTGATGTGGTTACCTGTAAAACTGTCAAAGCAGACTTAGTATTCGTCTTACTTCTCTGATATTGTTGCTATTTTATAGGTAGCACTTATGTTCATTCAAGTCTCCTAAAAGAGCAGAGTTTCACACTGCAGTTTTCAGCTACGTGGAGAAAATCCAAGAATATCAAACAGTAAATATTGGATGCTAAACTAAAGACCCAAACTTATCTCTGTACTGTTAGTCTGCTTTTTTGTTTTGTTTTGTTTTTTGTTTTTTTGGTCAGCTCTTCTAGAGATCGTCTAATGGCTCAGGACATTTAAAAATCATGCTTTTGGACTATACATTTTGGTGGAAAAAAAAAACTCTTCCCCCTCCCCTACTAAATACCACCAACTCCTTATTAACAATAGTTTTATCTGGTTAACAATAATTCAGTTGTACAATCAGAAATTGAAAGAAGTAGGATTACTGTAATATTTTTGTTGGTATCTGAAATTATACTTAGTAGATTCATACAATGTATCTCAAATTTGCTTTATGCAATCTTCATTTGAAATCCTGCCATCCAAGTAAATGTAGAAAGTTTTGTACTTCACACTAGTTGTGGTATGCTGCGAGTAATTAATGTTGAATTAATCAGAGATATGATGCCTAATCAAGGAAGCAGATGCCTAAGGTGGGGAGAGGATTATACTGGAAAGGCTATCTGCAGAATCAGGGGCTTAGTGGAGAATGCAAATACTTATATGAGTAGTGCTGTAGAATTCAATGGCACTAATAACATGTATAAATTCTTGCAGAATTGGTATCTTGTATTGCTTAATTTCATCCTATAGTTCCTGGTAGTTTACTAAATTAAATTAATCTCTGTGTGCCTGTAATAAATCCGACATTAAGGTTATTTGGGAATACAATTCAAAATGTTTCTTCATTTCAAAAGAAGGTTCTGGGAGCACAGATGCATGTTGTACTTAATGGTTTACAACTTGCTGTTGAAAACAGCACTGAAGTTCTGGAGGCTTGAATAAAGATTAATAGTTAGTCCACTACATGGATATTAGCAGGATGTCAGAGTGGTGATTTGTGGATTTTTTTCTTCCCTTCACCTTTCTATTAATGCCTGGCAGTGTGCTCCTAGCTGTGTAGAAGCATACATAGGGCCATTCATTTGCGTGAGGCGGGGGGAAGTGTTGTAAATAAGATTGACAGTGCAGTCTCCCTCCATGAATGTTGTGTAGCTCCAGATCTTCCTCTAATCACTTTATTCGTGCATGGCCCTTGCTACACATTTCTTCTTGGCCGCCTCGTGTTTCTTTTTGTTTCCCAGGTAGTTAATCTGGCATTGTCACAGGTTAAGCAGAAGCTTTATAGATTGAGAATTTAAAATATTTTGCTAGACTTGTTTTACACTCCATTTTTACACAGAACTTTATTAATCAACTGTGTGGAAACACAAAAATGGATATGGCTTGCCAAGTATCTATTTTCTTAGGGATATTGTTATGACTTGTGTCCTGTAAGAGATAAAGTAATAGTACTTTGCCATTTTCTAGTTATGTAATCATTTGTTATGAGTGATGATCTTGCTGACCTGAATATGTTCATATAGAGCTTGTAGATTCAGTAGTACCCAAGCCACTCCTATAACTGATGTTATTTATATTCTGCAGGATCAAAACCCTTCTCCCAGTGTTCCTCGTGTTCCTGTTTCTGTCCCAGGTCCTGGTGTTAGTGCTCAGGCTTCCAGTGTTTCCATGGCAGGTAATCATAACAACTCAGCCTATCTCAGCAATCAGCAGCAAGCCGTGGTAATGAAGCAACACCAGATGTTACTGGACCAGCAAAAGCAACAACAAAAGCATTTGCTGATGGAGCAACAGAAGCAGCAGTTCCTAATAGGGCAGAGGCAGCAACAACTGCTAGCTGAACAGGTAAGAACAGCCATACTGGGTCAGACCAATGGTCCGTCTAGTCCACTGTCCAGTCTTCTGACAGTGACCAATAACAGATGTTTCAGAGGAAATGAACAGAACAGGATAATTATTGAGTTATCCATCCCCTGTGGTCCACTCTCAGCCTCAGGCAGTTGGACGCTTAGGACACCCAAAGCATGAAATTGCATCCTTGATCATCTTGACTAATAGCCATTGATCAAGTTATTCTCTATGAACTTATCTAATTTTTTTTTTGAGCACAGTTATAGTTTGTCTTCACAACGTCTCCTGACATGAGGTCCCCTGGTTGACTGGGCATTGTATGAAGTAGCACTCCTTTTCATAGAATCATAGAATATCAGGGTTGGAAGGGACCTCAGGAGGTCATCTAGTCCAACCCCCTGCTCAAAAGCAGGACCCATCCCCAATTAAATAATCCCAGCCAAGGCTTTGTCAAGCCTGACCTTAAAAACTTCTAAGGAAGGAGATTCCACCACCTCCCTAGGTAACGCATTCCAGTGTTTCACCACCCTCCTAGTGAAAAAGTTTTTCCTAATATCCAACCCTAAACCTCCCCCACTGCAACTTGAGACCATTACTCCTTGTCCTGTCCTCTTCCACCACTGAGAATAGTCTAGAACCATCCTCTCTGGAACTACCTCTCAGGTAGTTGAAAGCAGCCATCAAATCCCCCCTCATTCTTCTCTTCTGCAGACTAAACAATCCCAGTTCCCTCAGCCTCTCCTCATAAGTCATGTGTTCCAGACCCCTAATCATTTTTGTTGCCCTTTGCTGGACTCTCTCCAATTTATCCATATCCTTCTTGTAGTGTGGGGCCCAAAACTGGACACAGTACTCCAGATGAGGCCTCACCAATGTCGAATAGAGGGGGACGATCACATCCCTCGATCTGCTTGCTATGCCCCTACTTATACATCCCAAAATGCATTTTATTTTAAACCTGCTGCCAATTAATTTCTTTGGGTGACCCCTGGTTCTGGTGTTATGTGATGGGGTAAATAACACTTCCATGTTCGCTTTCTCCATACCATTCACAATTTGATAGACCTATATCATATCACCTCTTAGTCATTGCTTTTCCAAGCTGAAAAGTCCCCGTCTTTTTCATCTCTCCTAATATGGAAGTAGTTAAGCCGACAGGAGAGCTCTCTCCCATCAGCTTAGAGCAGCTACATTAAAGAGCTTACAGCAGCATTGGTGCAGCAGCGCTGCTTTAAACTCTCTACTGTAGCCATACCCTTAGTATCTGTTCCTTTAGCCATATTCCCACATTGGCACAGAGCTTGAAGAGTTTTTCTCCCTCACAGGAAGTCTGGCCCCTAAATAGGCATACATGCCCAACTACAGGCCTCAGTCCTGTACTCTTGCTGAAAGGCCTTCAGGGCAATACCTTTAAATGCTTACCTTTCAATGTGAGTCCTTTTTTTGTCCTTTCCTGTAAGCCTCTCCTCTGCCTCACTCCAGCTCTCTCAGCTTTGGAGCCGAGGTAGCTTTTTAGTATAGCCTGTCAGTTGCATGATCTGGGACTACAACTTACATCATTCCCTCCTAGAGACGGTCTCTCAGAATTCCCTGGCCATTCAAGACCAACCCTCCAGAAGAAAGGCCAGCGGTGCTTACTCTCAGATGTGCCTCTGACTGTGGCAGCACCCCTTTGGGTTTATGATCTTCAAAGAAAGCCTGAAAGGACTTTTTTTGTTGTTGTTTTTTAAAAATAATACCCTTCATTCCTTCCCCCCCCACGTCCCCTGAATGTCAACTCTTGGTTCCCTGTTTTTACTGGTGGATTTGTTAGATGACTTTGATGTGGACTGGGAGCTTTCTCCACCAAATTGAAGAGGTAGGGTTGTTGAATCTTTAAGGGAGAGCTTTCCTCCAGCTGAGTTAATGGACTGTTAAAACCGTCTTAAATAGTGAATAACATCACTAGTATTAGTTCTCTATCATAGCTAGAGAACTAATAGGTTTCATGGTCTTTTAGGAAAACTGGGGTAGGCAGAGGCAGGAAAAATCTTTAAAAACAACCTTTCAGTCTTCTTGCTACATATTAAAAAGAAGAAAATTCACTTTTCTGTTTTGCTGGGCCCCTTTAAAATGAGACACATTGATAGTGGAGGAAGTTGGGTAAAAGTGCATCTTTTCCCTGTAGTGTTTTCAGAAATGTTACTGAAAATGGCTATTTACTGAATATTAGGGAGGCAAGGTGAGTGAGGTAATATCTTTTATTGGACCAACTTTTGTAGGTGTGTGTGAGAGAGAGAGAGAGGCTTTTGAGCTTACACAAAGGTCTTCTTCAGGCCTATTTACTGAATAGGCATTGATTGAAAGACTGACATTCCAGTTTTCCTAGCATCTGAGAGCATTTAGAGATGCATTGCAGCAACTTCTAATGCGTGTTTCTGTCATCCTGGCTTTCAGTTTGTGCATTTTTTTTCTGAGTTTATCACAATTCTGTCAACTGCTATTTACTAATCTGCTCTCCTGTCCTTTCCTCTTTTAAATAAAAATTATTGCACTTGACTCCTGTAAAGAGAGAGTATTCTTCTGGGTTGGCTATACAGTAACGCCTCGCTTAATGTTGTAGTTATGTTCCTGAAAAATGCAACTTTAAGTGAAACAATATTAAATGAATCCAGTTTCCCCATAAGAATTAATGTAAATGGGGGGAGTTAGGTTCCAGGGAAACTTTTTTCACCAAACAAAAAACCATATATTTTTAATTTATATTTTTATTTATAATATACATATATATGGGGTGTGTGTGTATATGTATGTATAAGTTTTAAACAAACAATTTAATACTGAGCCCTGTCGTGTCCCCACCTGCTCTATATGGAGAAGGAGTAAGCAGGGGGAGGGGTACACCCTGACATTAGCACCTCTCTCCCTCCCCCTATGTACAGCAATTTAATACTGTATACAGCAATGATGATTGTGAAGCTTGGTCGAGTATGGCTACATACTGCTAAATGATGAACTAGCATTCGGCTGAGCCGTAAAGGGTTAACTTGTTGTTAATGTAGCCTCACACTCTATAAGGCAACAGGAATGGAGCGAGGGGAGACAGAGAGACACACCCCTTTAAGAGAGATGAGATGCGCATTGCCCCTTTAAATATGCTGACACCACTCTAAGTACATTGCCTTTTTAAGTATATCAGGAAGTTGAGACAGCAGCTGCTGCCAGCAAGTTTTCTGTCCTGAGCCCTGTCGTGTCCCCACCTGCTCTATATGGAGAAGGAGTAAGCAGGGGGAGGGGGACACCCTGACATTAGCACCTCTCTCCCTCCCCCTATGCACAGCAAGCAGGAGGATCCCGGGAGCAGCTCCAAGGCAGAGGGCAGGAGCAGCACATGGCAGTGTGGGGAGGGACAACTGAACTGCTGGCAACTGATAGCCTGCTGGGCGGCTGCTGCACAGGGAACTTAGGGGAGCAGGGAGCTGATAGGGGGGCTGCTGGTTCACCCTGGTTCCAAGCCCCCACCAGCTAGCGCCAACAGGCTGCTCTTCCTGCAAGCAGTGGACAAAGCAAGTGGCTGCCAAACGACGTTATAAGAGAGGATTGCGCAACTTTAAATGAACATGTTCCCTAATTGATCAGCAACAAAACAACCTTAATTGGGATGACTTTAAGTGAGGAGTTACTGTATAACACTATTAAAGCCCCTATAGTTATCAGACCTCTGAACAAAGCATAGGTAGCTTTGAAGTCACCCTTGAAATTAAGTGTTGATTCTCTTTTTCTAACTCTTGTACTGAACCTTTCGTAGGAAAAGCGGCATCAACAAGAGCAGCAGCTCCAGCGGCACCTGACCCGACCACCCCCTCAATACCAAGATCAGGCACAGAACCCTTACCAGCAGCAGGTTGGACAGTTCACAGGTAAACAAACATGGGATTTGAATTAATAATGGTGAAAAGAGATTGCTCCTTGGGAATGAAAGTAGGGTGTCTTCAAAGTCCCTGGACTTCATAATTTGTTAATATTTTTTGTTCCCTTTTTTGTTACTCTTTAAATTGTTTTGATATATATTCTGACTTCAGTTGCTATTTAACAAAACTGCCTATCCCACATACATTAATTTAATGTTTTTATGCCAACTTAAGTATCCAACTCTTTAATACACCTCTAGGAATAAGTCTGTAGTGCTTGGATAAGGGATGGCATGAAAATTCTTAAATGTCTTTACATTTCCCCAAGGGTCCTTGGAGATCAAGTGACTTTCTCCTCCTTCCTCTTCCCATAGAGGCCCCAAATTATAGTTACCTTGCCTCCAATACATGAAGGATACAGCTCTTTCTGAAGCTGAATGTCATCGCTCCCTGTATTCATCACAGGGCCTCACAAGAAAAACACAAGAACGTTTTTTCCCCATTTAAGAGCCTGAATTTTTTTGCATCCACAGCACTCTTATCCCTGCTGATTTGAGTGAGGAATATGAGCTCTGATCCTCTGCATTTTAGGGTGATAGTCTGCATTTATTTGTGTGGGTGAGGGGTGGAACTCGCTACATCTTTTAGCATATTAATGGTGGTAGCAAGAAGGTGTAATTTCCAGTCAGGTGGAATAGCATAACTGATGTGAAAACATTGGAGGCCAGTCATCACCCATCTTTTTGTACTGGAAAGAGACTTCCCCTGCATTGGGGCAAGAAACTGCTTTGAGTATAAATATGTCTGCAGGTATTGGTCCACTCACTTTCTCTGGAGGTAAAAGAACTTTAAAAAAAAAAAAAAAAAAAAAAAAAGCGAATTTCATTCCTCCTCCTGCCCTGCTCTCCCCTCACCTCCAATATCCCCATTGAAGGGCAACTTCTTAATGTGGAAATATAAACAAGATACCATTATATTAACGATGCTGATGGATGGTAACCTGCAACATCTTAGTCAGTGATATGAAATGTGGCTTCTATGGCCAGGCAATTATTTTCCTCAAGATACGTAACAGAAGTAAGTTGATACAGGAGTAAGAGAGAAATCCTTGTACATCTATACCCGATAGGTATGTAGGATAGGTGATGAGTATTGTCCCTCAATCTGAGCTTTGCAGTACTCATTTTTCCCCACCACTACCACCAGAAATGCAGTGGTAGATCAGTTAGAAATACTGAGCGCATAACAATTTGCAAGAGTTACAGCATTGTTAAAAACACCATTGGTTTTACCCTATAGTCATGCTAACTATAGATATTTTATCACTGTTACATCCAGGCATATGTCCTCCCTCTTTGCTTATTAGCATGGCAAAAAATGGACTTCTGAACTTTTTTTGATGGTATATTTCACTGATAACTTGTTTAATGCTTTGAAAGCCTTACCATTCAAACTATCTATTTTTTTGCACTTGAGTTCAAAACATTCACCCCCAGCTTTTCTGGTAAGAGTGGCTGCCTCAGTTTAACAAATTTGAAAGAGGGACTCGGGCTCTTGGGACTCCTTTATATCTCATTGCAGAAAAGGCATTGGAACTATTTCTAGGCATTTTTTTCTGTACACTTTCTTATGTATTCCTCTTGTCTCTTTATATATTTTGGACTCAAACTGGGGGAGAGGGAGCTGTCATTCTGCATAAATGCTTTTAAGTAGAGTTAAAAAGAAGCTGCTGCCTTGGTGGTTTACTGATCATATTGCTTATTCCTGTGATTATCATGTTGATATCAGTCTTGCATGTTGACGCATAGTGAATGCTTCAGTACGAAAAAAAGGTACTCAAACTCAGATGTATTATCTGGTTTGAAAGTCCTAACATTCAAACTGAAACCGATAAAACAGATGCGTTATCAGTGAAAGAGATGATTTGGCATGTACCCTAATGATGAGTTAGACTTTTTGCATCCAGGCTAGATGAACAAGTTGGAGAGTCTGCCCTGCTTCTCAGCCTGATGCTATATTTCAGCATGTTGGCCCTCGTCTCCCAGTTTAGAGCTCTTCCACGGACATGAACTCTGATGTGAGGGACTTAGATCTTTATCTCATTAGCCCTGCAATAGGCACTTTGGGTCAGATTTTTAAAGGTCTTTAGGAGCCTAAAGATCCAAATAGGCTCCTAATGGGATTTTCAGAAGTGCCTCGATGCATAACTCCAATTGATTTCAATAAGAGATTCCTAGGTGCTTTTGAAAATCCCACTAGGCACCTGTCTGCATTTTTAGGAGCCTAAACACCTTTAAAAATCTGGCCCTTGTGATCTTGGTTTCTGCCTTTTCTAAAAGAAGTGGCATTCAAATTGCTGATGTTCTGTTATAATCACACCTGTGCATGTTGATCAGTAGTGAGCACTGACTTATGGGTAAGGCTACATTTTAGTCATGGGTATTTTTAGTAAAATTCATGGACAGGTCACAGGCAGTAAACAAAAATTCACGACTTGTGACTAGTCCATGACTTTTACTATATACCCCTAACTCAAACTTTGGGTGTGGGTGTGGGGGGGCTAGGGAAGGGCAGCCAGGGTGCTTGGAGGGAGCAGGAGGGCGGCAGTGCTCCCTATCTGGATCCTTGCCTAAACACTCCCCTCCCCCCCCCCTCCAGCAGCAGCAGCAGAGTTTGGGTGTGGGAAGGGGCAGGGGGTTGGGGCACAGGATGGGGTGAGGCAGGCTCTGCGTGGTGCTTACCTGGGGGGCTCCCAGGAATAGGCGACATCCCCCTTGCTCAACTGCTTAGGCGGAGGCGTGGCTGCCTCTGCCTGCAGGCACCGTACCCGCAGTTCCCATTGGCCACACTTCCCAGCCAATGGGAGCTGCAAAGCCAGCACTCTGGACTGAGGCAGTATGCAGATCTGCCTGGCCATGCCTCTGCCTAGCAGCTGAGCGAGGGGGATATCACCGCTTCAGGGAGCCTCCTAGGTAAGCGCCACTCAGAGCCGGCCTCACCCTGTCCCGTGCCTCAACCCCCTACCTTCTCCCACACCCAAACTCTGCTGCTGCTGGAGGCATGGTGGCCTGAGACTGCCCCAGCCGCAGTCAGTGCAACTGGTGCAGGAGCTACCTGAGCTGCCCCTGAGCCAGGCGCACCGGCCGCTGCAGAAGTCACTGAAAGTCACGAAATCCATGACCAACCCGCAGCCTTACTTATGGGGAAGTAGTTGGAAGCTTCTTTACTGACATACCACAAGACTGATCATACAGGGGAAGTTGTAATATAGAACTTTCCCATTTATATTCCGTGTGTGTATATGTGTGTTGTTACAATTATATCTAGTTAAATGTATCTACTACATGTATGTGAAATAGCGTCTAAAGGTCTAGATAGGCTCTGGTTAAATTGAAATAAACATAGTTAACGTAGTAAATATTGCTGTGTATTACAGGGTCATCTCCAGCCATGACTGGGGTAAGTAACTTAGGACAGTCCAACTCCAGCAGTCCACGGATGTTTTCTCAGACCCAGAACATGATTCAGATTGGACCTGGACACAGCTCTGTTCCTCCTCTCCAATCAGGCTCCAGTCAGCAGGATCGAAGTGTGACTCAGTACACTAGTATGCAAAACATTCAGCGAGGGGGGCTGTACAGCATGACATCTGGTATGACACAAATGATTTCACAGCATGCAAATCAAAGTGCCAACGGACAACTACAAATGCAAAGGCAGCCCAGCTTGGGTCAGGGCACTCCTGTTCCTGCTGGGTATGGGCAGAGCACCCTGGGAAACCCAAGCATTTCTCAGCAGCACAATAAGGGGGCACTGAATCCAACTATAGCCAAGCCACAGATGGCAAGAGTGCCAGCAGCTATTGGCACCCAAAATCCATCTTGGCAACACCAAGGTATGCCTAATATGAATAACCAGACACAAGGAAGTGGTGGCTTAGGGTCATTTACTGCCAGCTCCACTTTCCACATGCAGCAAACTCACCTAAAGATGGCCAACCAGCAGTTTGCTCCAGGGATGCCTCAGGTAAGCCTAAGCACTGGCAGATCAATGGCCTCCATGAACTCTGCTGTCTCTGGGCAGATGTTGTCATCTTTAGGTGCACAGCAGAGGACAAACCCACCTACCCAACAGCAGGTACCCTCGCAACAAGTCTTGCCTAGCATGAGCCAGGCCGTTCCAGATCTGACCGCTTTTGGCCAGAATCCAAATCAGCAACTGCCCAATAGAGCCAATCTGCACTGTACCCAAGGTTACTCAGTGAGGACCACCAGTCAGGAGCTGCCTTTTGCCTACAGTGGTCAATCAGGCAATAATGGACTACAGAGCTTGACTGGTGACACAGATCTGATAGACTCTTTGCTGAAAAACAGGACTTCAGAGGAATGGATGAATGACTTGGATGAGTTGTTAGGAACTCATTAAAATGGGGCTTGAGGGTTTTCTACTCTTATTTTTTTTTAATTTCATGAAATATAAACTACACTTTGGACCAAAAACCTGTGGCATTGAAGAGACTTGCAGGCATTAGAGGTAAATGGTTGGGAAATGGACTGGAGCCGCTTCCCAACAGGCTTCGACACATAATGGTGCACCAAGCAGGTCTGCAATGACAATGCGTTTATTTTTGTGGCATCTGTGGTGCACATTTGAACAGGTCAGGCAAATTTGTGTGCATCCCAGTCAGCCCTTCAGAAATCTCACTTGCAGTGTTTTGAAACTTAGGTTTTTAATTATTTAAAAATAAACAAAAATCCACAACAATGGTGCAGAAAGAAAGCAAATAAAATGGCAAGTATTTTGTGTTTAGGGCTTATTCTCCTGCAGCTAATACTTGAGTTGATTCTTGTTCCCAGCTTGGCATGCCATTAGCTACAGTATTGCCCTACCAAATATTTTACTTCATTTTTGCCGGAGGAGAGGATGTGCACCTCAGTACATTTGCAAAACATTCTTTATTTTGAGTCAGTTCTTTTTTCCCACCAGTGAAGTGTGTGCCTGTACTCTCAACAAGCAAGTGGTATTTCACAATAATATTTACCGCATTTTTTTCTGAATGCTGGTGATAGATGAAAGAAAGTGTTAAAACCTGGCCAGCTGGCCTAGGTTAGTGACTTCCTTAATGGATTGTGGACTCCCAAGCTCCAGTTTTCACTCTGTTGTGGAGGGACAGAGTTCTTGGCTTTTATCTTGCTCAGTTTATAGAGGGACTTTCTTATGGGAGAACTTTTCAAATATATCCGACTTAAACATAAACCAATTTAATTTGCACATTTCATCATAACTCATTTCCAAACTTAGCTGTGTTTAAATGTGGGCTTTGCCCCATCACAGCTCATCTTGTTTTACTGTTTGTTTCTGCAGTGTATTCCTAATGTGGAATTTGTGAGATGAGTCTTCTCCAAAACTAAATACAGTAATGCGATAAGCACAAGATTTTGTCACTTTAGGATCAAGTGCATAAAAGCAGCACTGGGCTGAGAAGTGGAAAGTCCTTACTAAAATGTAAATATCTGCAAGTAATAGCACAGGGAGCCTGGAAAAATACTAACCTTGTTTCAAGGTTGCTCCAATGTGAAAATCTCCCACTTTCACAAACTGGCGGGGAGGGAGGGAGTATTTAGTTAGATCAGGGGTTCTCAAACTAGCAGTCAAGACCCCTCAGGGGATTGTGAGATTATTACATGGGGGGTTGCGAGCTGTCAGCCTCCACCCCAAGACCCACTTTGCCTCCAGCATTTGTAAGGGTGTTAAATATATTAAAAAATGTTGTTTTTAATTTATAAGGGGGGTTGCACTCAGAGGCTTGCTATGTGAAAGGGGTCACCAGTACAAAAATTTGAGAACCACTGAGTTAGATAATCTTTCTGTGAACAGGTGGATTGCCTTCTCTAATCTCACTTAAAGCAGAAGCCCACAGAGACTGTTCATCCTCACCCGGATGTGTTAGGGTCAGTCTCACACAGGGTACGAAAAGCAATGAGAGCAGTCAATGTTCTAAAGTCCTTAACTTGCTACCAAATATTCCCCTCTCACCAACAAACCACCTTGCCTTAACTTTTAATTTAAAATGGAAATAAAGTTTATTTGTTTTAGCTGCACAAATACCTCTTTCCCCTCCAAGCCCTATTTAAAAAAAATAGCGGGCCAACTTTTTTCCATTTTTGTAAAGCTCCTTAAAATTTTCCAGCATTATGATGAAAAGGATTTCCTTCAACACAGACTCGTATCTTCAGGAGCCTTTCTGCACTGCAGAAGCATGGGGAGATTTTAAGCTTTTTTTGGGTGGGGGGGTGGGGGGGGAGGAAGATGGGAGGGGGAGTGAAGGATAACAGTGAATGCTAGGAAGGAAAATATTTTACTGTCTCTGCAGCTCATTTATCAGACAACTTGCACTTTTTAAAAACAAACAAACTGCTTTTAACACTAATAGTTTTAATTTAACCCTGTCCAACTACACAGGAACCTAGTTTTGTCCTACACAATTTACCTAATGTGAGTTAATTATGCCCTGTTAAACAGAGTTTGGATGATATAGAGGCTGTTGATAGCTCAGTGGATTTCACCATTGAATAGATAGAGGTTGAAACTCCACTGAAGCAAATTCAATCCCTTGTAGGTTATTTAAAACAAGGTAAGATAGGGAGTTGATCACTGAATGAGAAGTAAGTGCCAGTGACACTGGTATTAGTGACATTGTTTTTAAGATTTTTCTAGGTAAAATAGCTGAGATTTAAAATTACCTAATCCTAACTTCTCTGGTATCAACAATTTGTGGAGGAGGGGGGAGAAAGCTTAGTAAGATTGGTTTTAATATTGCATTAAACAAAAAATTGGGCCAAGAAAAATTTCATAATAGTCTTCTGAAGCGGTTAACCTTTTTTTGCGAGGGTGGGGGGCATTCACTGTACTTTTTTAAAAAATGTGTTAACTTTGCACCAGTGTGCCTTCCTTTCCTGTTGGGGGTGCTTGGGACCTCAATCTTAACAGTGGCATCCTGTAATGTCACTTTTCTTCCTACTTAACAAACACTGAGAAATAACAGGGTGGTAGAATTTAAATCCTCTTTCTTCCCTGTTTATTATATGTGGTGAAATCCTCCACATTGTTCAATGAATTTAACACATGGAAGTTAGTTCTAAAACAAAATATTATCCATCATTATTCCATAATCTGAGGGACAGAAGATCTGTTTAGCATACTTGCTACCAAAAAAGACCCTGTGTGTGTCAATATACATATAGACTCTCACACAGAAGGAACTACAGAGGTACTGTTCCCTCCATTATTCTGGAAGTTGATGGATATCGCCCTGCATGACCTGAGGGTTTGTTCATATTGATATCCTGATTTGACTGTAGGGCCTTGTCTACAATAGCCACGGTACTGTTTAAACACTTTTCAAACATGGTTGTAGGCAAACTGGTTTATAACATCTTTTAGTCATCATGTACAAACAGTGTTAAACCTGGGTTTAGAACTGTTTGAACTTGGTCTTGACTGCTATTTTATTTTTAAACACACATTTTGTTTGTCCCTGACTACACAACACGATGAAACTGTTAAAACATGGTATTGCTATAACAGTGTTTAAAGACAGTTCAGTGGACATTGAAAATGGGCTCTAGATGTACATAAGTGCATGGATGAAGATGGGCTACGCGTTGTCCTTAAACTCTTCTACATGTAGTTGTTTATATATGCACTTGGGTTTTCCATTTTGATGCGGCTTCCGAGCAATAAGATGTAGTTTGCCTTTACCTAGCCACAGCCGCCCATGGCTTTATTTATAAACTGCGGTTTTGGGTAGTTGGGAAGGGGGTCAGAATCGTCACTGTGCAACATCCACTGCCTTCCAAAAACCACAACTCAATTGAAAAGGGTGCTCAGACTTTTGTTATACACATTTCCTTTGTGTAAATAAATGTTTACAGTTTTATATTAAAGATTGAATAAGTTAGATCTTCTGACTGTATATTTTTTACTTTTTATAGATTTTAAAACTATAATTCTTTATATATATGTTTTTGGGGGGCTATGGTAAGTTTTATGCTTGTAAATTGAGAATAATTGAATTTGATGTTAACCTTTGTGTTTTTGTCATTGAAATGTATGAAGAGCCCATTAATCCCCTTATTCTTTTACTACAATTACTGGTGCACACCAAAAAAGAAATCCTTCATTTCTGTTTTATCGTTACAAAAATAAATATTTTGCTAGTGTATTAAACATACGCCTGTGACCTTCTACCTTTGTGTGAGCTGAGCAAGGATTTTTGCATCATCGTTCTCAGTGAGGTTTGTCCTTAGCCTAATGATAGATGGTGGGAGAAGGTTTGTGGACACCCATTGCTTTGATTAGTAATGCTCATATTCTGTCTGTCTTCATAACATAACTTTCCTTCCTTCCAAGTCCTTTCCAAATTGAGACCAGTACTGCAGTGGGAGTGAAGCGAGGAAGGATAAGGACATTCTCCGGCCAACCACCAGAAGCTTCACTTAAATTTGAAAAATTAAGTTTAATATTCAACTAGATCCTATGTGTTAGTGATGGTTATTGCTTTTTTAAATGGCTCTTCTTTCTTTGATCCTATGGTTGGGAGAGAAAGTTGGTTTCAAGCTTCCCTCTCTACTCTTATTTCTAGATTTTAGGTGTAAAAGGTTTTTAATGTTTGTTTTTTCACTTGTCTTGGAGAGAGACTAGCAGTGAATTGCTACGGATGGTATTGTCTACTCAAACTTCTAAATTGTGCCCAACTTTCCAAAAAGTAAAAGGTGATATTAGTAAAACTTGCAAAAATGAAGAAGTTATGCTGTTCGTCATACAGCCTCCCTATTTTAAACCATTGAGAGACAACAGAAATACTGCTAACTGTGGAGGTCAGAAATTTCAAACTGGTACCAAAATGTGGGCAACTAAGTTCATGAAAATTTAGGCCTGAGGTTATTGGTACTTTAAGTACTAAAGTGGTTTTTTAAAAAATTGCTGACTCAAACAATTTACAATGGAACACTTGTATTGTCATCTCTTCTGTTTGATGACAAAATCTGCACTAAAGACACTGATATGAATGTGGAATTTTTTTCTGAAATAAACATTACAGAAAAATATATTTTGCAAAAACCCTAGTTATCAATAGTCCCTGCACTTTTACATCAAAACACAAGACTGAAGTGGAGTTCTCTGATCTTCCTCTTCTGTTAAATGCTCTGACTTCCTTTGGCTGAGGAATGAATGCAGCTTCCTTCAAAGCATATCAATGCTGCTTGATATGGGTGGGAAAGAATGGGGTAGGAAATAGGGAAAGAGTTACTCCAGAATCTTACTCTGGGTTAGCTGTGGCTTGTTGCATCTCTTTTGGTAGGGGCTGCTTACTCTGTTTAGAATAGTGTGTGATCTTAAGGCTTCATAGCTCTGAGCAAAAAAATCTTTGGGTCAGTGTATGCCCACTCAGATGATACCGGCTTCCACTACTGTTTTCTCAGAAAGCATGGATCTTAAATTCTGATCTTATGACAGCAGTTTGTACATGGTATGACAAGCTTAACATTGGAAATTGAAGGTGAGCCATATCACACATGAAAGGACTAGGCAGACCTAAAGTTGTTGGTTTTTAGTGTTTCCTGTTTATCAAAACAGTTTGGTAGAACATAGATTCCAATAACTGACAAACTTCATCTCTAGCCTTCTCAAGTTTTGAACCTCCCTCTTAGTCATCTCTACTCTGACCACAGATTAGCACCAGTGGTTAGAAAACTTGCATAAATATGCCATCAGAGGGTCCAATTTTAGTCCAGAACTTCTTCCAAGTTTGAGTATTTTCAAAGTCCTCTTATTTAGACCTTAGTCCATCCTGTGCTTTGCCTACCCACATTTGCCATCCTTGCCTATCAACTGCCCTTCTCTCCAAATCTTCCCATTTCATGTTGAGGTGCTTGATGTTGTTCGGAGCTGCTCATTTCCATGTTATTCGCTGTCTTCCTCTCTTTCTTCTTGCGTTTTCTGGCTTCCATTCAAGGGCGGTATTTGGTAAGTGTTCTTTTTCCATTCTCAGCATATGTCCCAGCCATTGATGTTGTCTTTTGTAGGTTATTTGTGAGAGAGTGCCTTGTCCAGCGATTTTTCTGACTTTGTTCGTCTTCCTATCTCTTTTATTCCTGATATTCTTAGACATTTGTGATGAAATGCGTCCAGCTTTTGCGTATATTTCTTGGTAAGTTGACATGTCTCACTGCTATATGTTGTGAATGCGATAACAGTTGCTTTGTACATGTTCAGTTTTGTGTTGAGGGAGATGGTTTTTGAGTTGCCAGATGTCTTTGAGTCTTCCAAATGCAGTGTTTGCCTTTCTGATTCTTCTTTCCTCGGAACTGATAACCATCTTGGCTGATGGTACTTCCAAGATATGTAAAATTGTCCAGTTTCTCCTCTTCAGTTTTGATTTCTGTCCCCGTTAACATGGCTTTACATTTCTTTGCATTCTATCTCAAACCTATCTCTTCTCTATTACTACTTTTATTTGGTTTGTGCATTTTTGTAGTCTGCTGGCATCTTCGTTGATAAAAGTGATGTCAGCAAAGTCTAGATCAAATAACCTTGAACTGTTCCATTTTAGGCCACATGTATCACTGTCGCATTGTTTTAATCCATAGTCTGACTAGCATAAACAAAAAAGCAGACCGGATGGGCCCCTGCCTTACGCCTGTCTTGATCCTGGAAGTCACCCACTCAATGGGCCAAATTCTGACAGCCAAAAAGGGTACATCCATAGCTACCTGAAATGTACAAACTTTAAATAGTACAGGAAAATTAGTACAGTTAATCAAAGAAATTGATAGATATAAAATTGGCATGCTAGGACTTTGTGAAGTTAGATAGAAAGATCAAGGTATGGTAACATATGGAGAAAAAACAATGTTGTATTCATGTGGAACCAAACATGAGACAGGTGTAGGAATGCTCATGAATAGCGCTGCAAAGAAATCACTTATGAACTGGCAGCCAATATCAGATAAGCTACTGGCAGCTAAATTCCACTCTCGGCACATTAAGCGCACCATAGTCCAGGCATATGCTCCAACAAACGATGCAGATGAAGAGGACAAAGGGATTCTATACAGAATTGAATGATGTAATGAAAGAAATACCAAACCATGATCTTGTCCTGGTTATGGGAGATTTTAATGCCCAGCTTGGAAATGACAGAAGAGGTTGAAATGAATGCCCACATACAACTGGAACGACAGACAGTGGCACAAGACTTTTTGAATTTTGTGCCGAAAACAATCTTAGCATCTGCAATTCTTTCTTCCAACATAAAAACATACACAAAAAAGACATGGATTTCACCAGATGGCCATATGCAAAATTAGATAGACTATATCTGTTAGTCAGAGGTGGAAAACATTAGTGTTAAACACAAAAGTATTCAGAGGAGCAGATATAGGGAGCGATCACTACTTGTTGAAAGGTTTCAGAGTAGCAGCCGTGTTAGTCTGTATCCGCAAAAAGAAGAGGACGACTTCTGGCACCTTAGAGACTAACAAATTTATTTGAGCATAAGCTTTCGTGAGCTACCACTCACTCCATCGGATGCAATGATGAAGTGAGCTGTAGCTCACGAAAGCTTATGCTCAAATAAATTTGTTAGTCTCTAAGGCCTGGTTTACACTGGGGTGGGGGATCAATCTAAGATACACAGCTTCAGCTACGAGAATAGCGTAGCTGAAGTTGACATATCTTAGATCGACTTAGAATCACTTTTTTCACGTCCTCACAGCGCGGGATCGACAGCCGCTGCTCCCCCGTCGACTCCGCTTCCGCCTCTCGCTGTCGTGGAGTTCCGGAGTTGATGGCAGAGCGATAGGGGATCAATTTATCGCGTCTACACTAGACGTGATAAATTGATCCCCGATAGCTCAATCACTGCCCGCCAAATCGGCGGGTAGCCTAGACATGGTCTGAGGTGCCACAAGTACTCCTTTTCTTTTTACTTGCTGAAAGCAAACATCAAATTGAAGTTTAAAGCACTCAGAAAGAAAACAGACTCAGATTATTCAATACACAGAAATTACAAGATTGCAGGATATGAAAAGAGTACCAGACAGAGGTCAAGAACAGGTTTGAGGCTCTTAAAGACCTTGAAGAAAATGAAGTGGAAAAATACTGGGATCTTTTCAAAACAGCTGTGTTAGAAGCAGCTGAAAAGATAATTGGTAGAAAGAGAGGAAGCAATAAAGAACAGTGGATCTCAAAAGAAACATGGAAAATTATAGACAAAAGAAGACAAAGGCTCTTGTACTTCAACATGCGACTGAAGAAACTAAACAAACCTACAGGAACTTGGACAAAGCAGTAAAGAAACAATGCAAAAAGATAAGCAAAATTGGATAGAAAGTAAGGCTAGTGAAGCTGAAGAAGTAGGGAAAAGAAACGATATAAGAACAGTCTATACGATCCTGAAACAGTTAACAGGATATGAATTAAAATTCAGAAGTGTCTCAGTGAATGGAAAACAAGGAGAAATTTTGAAAACAGAGGAGGAACAAGAAAATAGGTGGAACACTTCAAAGTGCTAAACCAACCAGAACCAGTTACAAGACTGGAATTTAACAATGACCGACCATTAGACCTAGATATAGATGTATCTAAGGTAAAAATCAAAGAAGTAAGAAAAGCATTGCAGAAGCTGAAAAACAAGAAGGCACCTGGTTTGGATGGCATTCATCCTCTTAATTAGCTGATATATGTAAAGATTATTTGCTAAGTGCTCTGTTGCAGTTTCTTTTGTATAATGAGTTTTGTAACACCATTCTAGGGACTTTCAATAGAAATAAGATCCAGCCTGATTTCCTGTGAAGAGATGTTTTTGATACCCTGTACTTTCTTGCGTCAGTTCCTTCTGTTGAGCTATGTCTATTTTCAGTATGTTGAGATTGTGTTGGGATTTAATTATTTTGTGAATGGTACAGGGCCAGAAATAAGAGTGATCGTTTTGGCCAAGTTACCACACCATACCTTTTACTATAAGTAGGGCCCTACCAAATTCACAGTCCATTTTGGTCAATTTCACAGTTGCAGGGTTTAAAAAAATCATAAATTCCATGATTTCTGCTATTTAAATCTGAAATTTCACAGTTTAATTGTAGGGGTCCTGATCCAAAAAGGAGCTGTGAGGGAGGGGTTTGCAGTACTGCTACCCTTGCTGCTCCTGGTAGTGGTGCTACCTTCAGG